CACACCCCACACACCCCACACACCCCACAGACCCCACGGATCCGGTACCTCCAGCACCACCACGGACACGATGGCCCCCTCGGGGCTGAGCCAGGGGAAGAGCCGCTGCAGCTGCCCGCACTGCGCGATCAGGTAACAGTTGACCACGATGGCCAGGACACCCATGGCCTCCATCACCTTCTGCCGTGGGGACAGCAGGGAGTGAGACCCCCGGGTGCCACCACGTGTCCCCAAACTGTCCCCAAAGGGTACCCAAACTGTCCCCAAACTGTCCCCAAAGGGTCCCAAAACTGTCCCCAAACTGTCCCCAAAGGGTCCCCAAAGGGTGCCCAGGGTGATGGAGAAGGACAGGGCTGGGACAGGGGACAGGGCTGGGGACAGGGATGGGGACAGGGCTGGGACGGGACAGGGATGGGGACAGGGCTGGGGACAGGGACAGGATGAAGGACAAGGAAAGGAGCAGGGAAAGGATCAGGACCAGGATCGGGACCAAGATCAAGGTCAGAACCAGGACCAGGACCAGAACCAGAACCAGAACCAGGACCAGGATCAGGACCAAGATCAGGATCAGGACCAGGATCAGGACCAGAACCAGGACTATTACCAGGGTCAGAACCAGAACCAGAACCAGGACCATTACCAGGACCAGAACCAGAACCAGCACCAGCACCAGGACCATTACCAGGGTCAGAACCAGAACCAGGACCATTACCAGGGTCAGAACCAGGACCAGAACTAGCACCAGCACCAGAACCAGGACCAGAACCAAGGTCAGAACCAGAACCAGGACCATTACCAGGGTCAGAACCAGAACCAGGACCAGGACCAGGGTCAGAACCAGGAGCAGGAGCAGGAGCCCACCTGCCACTGGCCGATGCTCTCCACGCGCTGGCCGAAGGGTCTCTGCAGCCCCGTGCAGAGCTTGAAGGCGTCGCTGCGGATCTCGATGACGTTGTTGACCAGGGCGCACATGGCGGCCAGCGGGAAGGCCGAGGAGAAGAGCACCACGTAGCCAAACTGGATGAACATCTCCTGGTAGTCCTGGAAGGTGTCCTGACGGGAACGGGGCAGGGTGGGGAGGGCTCAGGATGGAGCCTGGTGGCCACGGGGACACCTCGGGGAGGTGACAAGTCATGGGGACACCTCGGGGAGCCTGGTGGCCACGGGGACACCTCGGGGAGGTGACAAGTCATGGGGACACCTCGGGGAGCCTGGTGGCCACGGGGACACCTCAGGGAACCCACGGGACACTTTGGGGATGTCACTGGCCATGGGGACATCTCAGAGAACACTTGGGGATCCTGGGAGCCCCAGGAACACCTTGGAAAGGCCACCAGGGACACCTTGGGCAGGCCACCAGGTCCAGGGACACTTTGAGGAGGCCACCAGCCATGGGGACACCTTGGGGATCCTGATGGCCATGAGGATACCTCGGTGAGGCCACCAGGGACACTTTGGTGAGGCCACCAGGTCCAGGGACATTCTGGGGAGCCATGGGGACACCTTGAGGAACCCATGGGACACCTTGGGGGATCCTGATAGCCATGGGGACACCTCGGTGAGGCCACCAGGGACACTTTGGGGAGCCCACAAATCATGGGGACACCTTGGGAAGGCCACCAGGGACACTTTGGGGAGGCCACCAGCCATGGGGACACCTTGAAGAACCCATGGGACACCTTGAAGAGCTCATGGGACACCTTGAGGAACTCATGGAGACACCTCGAGGAACCCATGGGGACACCTCGAGGAACCCATGGGGACACCTTGAGGATCCTGCTGGCCACGGGGACACCTCAGGGAGCCCCAGGAACACCTCGGGGAGCCCAGGAGGTCCAGGAAGGTGGGACAGAGGGGACAGAGGGGACAGAGGGGACAGACACCACCCACCTCGTACTTCTTCATGCAGCTCTCCACCTCGGCCTGGGTCAGCTGCGTGGAGTAATCCTCCTCGGGCGGGTCAATCCACGAGGCTCGGTTGCGCTTCCTCCCTTCCTCCTCTCCCTCCTCCTCCTCCCTCCTCCTCCTCCTC